GAGGTCAAGTTAAATGAATTTCTGCTGTCTTGTTTTTCTCCTGCTGCATTTATCAGAACCTTGAAGTTAATTTGCTTTGTAAATCTCTGAAAGTGTATATAGAATGAAGTACTATACAAACTTGTTAGATGACAGAATCTTTTTTTTTTTTTTTCAATTGCTGTGAGCCTCCTGCAGGTCTCCTGTTCTATCAAGTGCTAGATGCCTCTGAGGTCCCCCATTCATTCAATTCTAAAATCTCCTCAATGACTAACGAAGGTCAGTAGGTGAAGGGTGCTTTTAATATATATAGTTCAAAAAATCCTGAATGGTGCTTTGTAAATATCCATGCTGGGCTGGAGCTGTTGTTTTCATCTTTGCCTGTACCTTGTCATCACCTAAGGAGATTTAAAAAGTACTGATGCTCAGGTTGCATCCTCAGAGATTCTGATTTAATTGTTCTGGGTGCCACCTGAGCATTAGATTTTCAAAGTGATTTCTAATGTGCAGCCAGGGTTGAGAATGGGCTAAAGAATCTTTGGCTGGGACAGGCAATAACCAGGATCAGAAATGCAAAGGACCATAGAGTTTGGGAGGGGAAATAAAAGGGAAAGACAGAAAGAGGAGACGTGAGGTGAGGTTGATGATTAAAACCTAACCATGGTGTGGGAGTAAGCTGTGTGAGAGAAGAGATGAGGCTGACTGAGGAGATGGAGGATAGAGTGACCATGGAGAACGGCAGCTATGTACAAAGAGGAGTACTTAGAACACCAACTGGAAAAGATCACACTCCCCTAAAGACAAACACACAAAAATAATCTCAAAAACTAAAGCAAGACCATATGAGCCAGAAGATCCACAGCTTCAGGACTGGGGTCGCTCCAAAGACACTTCCCTTAGGCAGAACTCCTAGTGTTAGAAGAGAGTCTGAATTACAGCTGAATTGACTGTCTCATGAGAGGTCTTCCTTTCAATTTGCCTCAACTGAAGCCAGTGTATACCCTGTTTCCTTTCACCATGGTGAGGTTTATGGGCTGTGACGTAATTTCTCATAATTTATGTGAATGCTGCCTGCTGGGCCTCCATTGGACCCAGTAAGAAAGGGGAGGAAGCTAGGAGGAAGTGAACGGGGACAGCATTTGCAAGACTCACTCAGCTGTAGGATGGGCTCAGCAGGAAGTCACCAGATATCCAAATCAGTGTCCAGAAGAGAACAGTAGCTGAAATCCCATCTAGACTGACATTGCTCCAAGTGAGTACATCTGATGGGAAACAATATGGCCCCAGATGTTTCTAAGCCAAGAAGGGCAAATCTATGCACGCTGTCCCGCATTGCCCACTCTGGCATGTGTGGCAGACATGAAGAATTGATCATGGTGCAATTTTATGATGAGGCTGGACACAGCCTCAGCGTGCTTCTCAGCACAGAGCACCAAACAGCTATTGCCAGGTGATCACAGTCAGGACTCAGCTCCCATCCCGGTCCTAGGCTGTATGGTATGCTCAGAGTGGTGTGGGTGGCAGGACTGTGGTAGGCAACAAGCTACCATTTATTTATTTATTCAACCATCCTGATATAAAAAGATAAAACCTACACCTTCTACTGTAATAGACATTTGGGAATGCAACAGTGAGTAAAACAAGCATGGTCCCTACACATTAAATAAACCGCTAAACAAACATAAATGAACATATAAATACAAATTGTAGTGAATGCTACTGAGAGTTTAGTAAGTTAATAATTAACATGTTCCTCTTCCCCTTATCTTAACTTAGAAACAGCTGAGACAGACATAGGAGTCAAGGAGATGGAGGTAAAAATATCAGCTTCATTACTAATAATAAGACTATGAGAACAATGACTTATAACTAAGACCTGTAGTTTGATTCTGATATTTATCTATAAATATTTATATATATATTTATATATATAAAAATATATATTATTATATAAATACATATATTTATATAAATTTATAAATATATATATATATATATATAACCTGTCCATTGTTTATCTATATTTACACACACACACACACACACACACACACACACACACACACACACACTGGGTGCCCAGTTTTTATATATATATATATATATATATATATACACATATAAAACCTGTCCATTAGTTTGTCTTAAATTCAAGTTTAACTGAGTGTCCAGCATTTTATTTGGCAACCCTAGAGGAGAAGAAACAGAAAAACCAACTGAGATTTTGTCACAGATGTTGGTGATAGAGAAGATAGAGAAGATGGCATGCAGCGAGTTCCCGTTCTATTAGGAAGTAGACTCCTGGAGATGGATTGATGTGGTTGGTGAGAGAAAAAACCGGGGGTCAAGGGCCATGCAGACTCTGGACAGCCTCTGGAAGGACAAAGCTGCCAGTACATCCAAAAACACTGAATGAAAATAAAATTAGTTTTAACACTTCATTCTACTGCTCTCCTCTTGTAAAGTCTTGCACCCTATGTAGCTATGCTCATGACAACAGCTGTTTATTAACTGATACCTATATAATGCAGTATTAAAACTAATACCAAGGGAAAGGGCCTTGTGTGCTGCCAAAAAAAAAAAAAAAAAAGTAGCAAATAAACTGTAGTTCTAGACTTGCTGTGCCTAATACGACATGGCTCGTGACTGAGAAAATTATCAAAAACCTTTGGGATCAGAAGACAATATGAATTAGTCCACAAATGGGAGGAATGCAGTTCTGGTCTTCTGACCGTGTCCCTTAACTTTTTGATTATGTAAAATTTTATTAATGTAACCCGTCCTATCACGTCACTGTTGTGAGTATCATGTGAATTACAAATAAGAAAAATCTTTTATTAATATTCAGGTATTGTTGTTACCTGAATGTTTGTGTACCCCCACCCCAAATGTATATGCTAAAGCCCTAATTCCCAATGTGATATTTAGAGATGGGACTTTAGGAGATAATTAGGGTTACATGAAGTCATGAGGGTGGGGCCCTCATGGTGGGATTAGTGACCTTGTGAGAAGGGGAGGAAAGATCCTTGGCTGGTGCACCCTCTGTTCCCTGCACACATGGGAGAAAGGTGATGTGAGGGCATAGTGAAAAGGTGGTCATCTGCAAGCCAGGAAGAAAGACCTCACCAGAAGCCAAATTGACCAGAACCTTGACCTTGTGCTTCTATCCTCCAGAAGTGTGCATAAATAAATTTCTGTGGCTTAAGCCAAAAACCTATAGTACTTAGTTATGGCAGCTCAAACTGAATAATACAGGTACTATTATTTTTACAAAAGTAATTAGGTATAATAAGCAAGCAAGAATTTTAACACCAAAGCAAAATCTCTTACTTTATTTAACTGATTATTTATTTAGAAACAGGGTCTCTGTCTGTCACCCAGGCTGGAGTGCAATTGTGCAATCATGGCTTACTGCACCCTGGAACTCCTAGGCTCAAGCAATCCTCCAACCTCAACCTCCTAAGTAGCTGGGACTACAGGTACATACCACCATGACCAGCTTTTTTTTTTTTTTTTATTTTAGAGGCAGGATCTTGCTGTGCTTCTTGGCTGGTCTTAAACTTTTGACCTCAAGCAATCCTCCCACCTTGGCCTCCTGAGTAGCTGGGATTACAGGCCCAAGCTACTGTTCCCAGCTTCTTGCTATTTTCAGTCTGCCACTGAATTTTCTGGATCTGTAAGCTAGGCCACCTCTAGCATATGGTTTCCAGTCTCCAGTCCTGGAGCAAATTATATTGTGAGTATTTTCTTGCCTTTTCCTTTTCTACTTCCCAAACATACACATTAAGGGCAGCCTTGAGAAGGTGATGTCACAAAAGGTGTGGGTGTGTGAGGAAGAAAGGAGCTTGGTTGCTAGGAAACCAGGGAGCCAGTACAGACAAATAGCCACTAGGTACTTAGGGATTGTGTGGGTTGTGCTGACTGCATGTATGTGAGTACCTGGGGCCTTTCTCTTATAGGGCCAGCTAGAAATCTGCCACATCAAGACCTCTAGTCTGACATCAGATGTAAAAAGATGCTGCATAATGTAATGACTAGGGAGGCTTTCCATTGGGGTGGTCCCCGCTTGTTCACAGGGAATACATTTCAAGACTCCCAACGGATGCCTGTAACCAAAGGTAGTATCAAATTTAATATATATTGTTTTTTTCCTATACATATAGGTCTATGATAAAGTTTAATTTATAAATTAGGCACAGTAAGAGGTTAACAACAATAACTAGTAATAAAATCGAACAATTAAAACAAAATACTATAATAAAAGTTATGTGAATGTGCTTTCTCTCTCTTTCAAAATATCTTACTGCAGGGTACTCACCTGTTTTCAGACCGCTACTGAACATGGGTAACTGGAACCGCAGAAAGGAAAACCACACAGATAAGAGGGGACTACTATGTAAAAGATGGAACCCAACTCCAGAAAAGAGAATTTGTTATATATAGTAACCGGAAAGTCTAGGGGTGGACACTGCTTCAGATAGGACTGGATTCAGTAACGTGAATGTCATTGACTCATTCTTTGTCATATCAATTTTTCTCTGTGCAGTAGTCTCATTCTTACCTATTTTATTTTATTTTTTTATGATCGGGATCCCAATAGGCATTAAGGAAGTGATAGTCTGCTACAGAGCTCTGGGCTCCTATGTTTCCAGGAACCATCTCCAAGTAAAGAAAGAGCTTTTCTTTCCTTGGATGTGTATGTTAAATCCCAGAGAAGGGATTTGATTACTCCAGTTGGGTCACAGGCTCTCGTATTGCACTAATTGCTATGGCCAGAGTAGCAGGATACTCTGATTTGCAGCCCCATTAAGAACTGCATGGAATAGGGGAGGCAATTCTCCGAAGGAAAATCGGATGTGTTAGAAGAAGATGAAAGGATTAACTGTGCAGGTCAAAACAGCAGATATCCACAGAGGTACTTGAAAAGACATCTACAAGTTTTGCTCTTTTATTCATGTGTAACTTTAATCAAAATTACGTATGAAGGATGCCCATATATATATATATATATATATATATTTTTTTTTTTACAAAAGGTAGGCTATGTTTATTAGAGTCACAGGCAGTTGACTGCCTCAGTGTGACTCAAGACCACAAAAAACCCATTTCTCCTTCACTTCTGGGTCCTGGGGTTGAGACCCAGACCGGCAGGTATACTGCCTGGGGCCCATTCACAGGTTTACAAGTTTCTCATTGAGGGCAATCTGTGACTGAGTGAGGTTGGCCAGGTAGGTCACCATCAGCAGGTCATTGATGTTGCTGTTGAGCATGGTCTCAAAGTCATCAGGAACTATTTTGGGTACTTGGTTAACCAGGCTCATCAGGAATCGGCCCACAGTATTGTCAGCTGACACCTTTCCAGACAGTACATCCTCTGCGTGCAGCAACATCGTGCTCAGGGCATCCCGGATGCGAGCTGATGCCCCTCCTACTTGCTGCAAGTCACTTGAGAGTCCAATCACTCGTTTGGGGCTAAAGCAGGTCTTCATAATCAGGTCAACTCCAATTCGTTCAGTGTCATAGTATGCATATTTCACTTTCAGAGTTGTGAGCATCACTCTCATGGTCCTCCAGGGGACATCCATTAAAGTGCTGACACAGGCTTTGATGCTCATGCTGCCGTTCTGGAGACTTGTGTCCACAGTGAGGTGGATGGGGTTGGGGGCTTCCCAGCTGTAGTACTCATGGATCAGCACAGAGTGCTCTGTGATGTCATGGCCTGTAGCATATCAGCCCAGGATGAGCTCATTTGGAGAAACTTTTCTTATGCAGTTCATAAAAAAGTTGAGAGTCCGTCTCTTCCTCATCCCGGCCACTATCCAGGACAAGTTAATCATCCGTTTCACTGTGACCTCCCAGTTTACCACTAGGGATGACATCTTGAGAGACTGGAATCTCATTCGAGATGCCGCCACTCTCATCCTGAATCAGCACTGTACTTGTGTACATGTGTACATGCATTTTTCTTGGGGGCGAGTTCATTGGAAACAACCCCAGTGTGCATTCATAGAGAGCAGTAAGTGATTTGAAATTCATAAAGTATAATACTAAATATCAATTTAAAAATTAGATTTGTTTACTGACACAAATGTGGCCTTGATATACATTAAGGGGAAAAAAACAAGTTGTAAAGCAGTGTTTAAGGTTTAAATTTTTTGTAAAAATGTTATTTCTGTGAATATTGTCCCAAATTGTTAAGAGTGGCTTTCTGGTAGGAAGTTGCTATTGGATTCCCTTTTGGTGGGTTATAAACTTCTAAAATTTTAATGAGCAAATATTAATTTTGTAGTTAAACCAATACAGATTACATTTTAAAAATTCATTATAAACATTTAAAAAGAAGCATAAATATCATCTCCCATTTTGTAGGTTGTTTTTCACTTTCTTGATAGTGTCCACATTTTGTTTATCTTTTGATCAGTTGATAGACATTTGGGTTCTTTTCATCTTTTGCCTATTGTGAACACTGCTTGTGTGAACATTGGTATACAAAGAGAATAAAATACCTAAGAATACAACTGACAAGGGACATGAAGGACCTCTTCAAGGAGAACTACAAATCACTGCTCAAGGAAATAAGAGAGGACACAACAAATGGAAAAACATTCCATGATCATGGATAGGAAGAATCTATATCATGAAAATGGCCATACTGCCCAAAGTAATTTATAGATTCAATGCTATTCATATCAAGCTACCATTGACTTTCCTTGCAGAATTAGAAAAAAATTACTTTAAATTTCATATGGAACCAAAAAAGAGCCCATATAGCTAAGATAGTCCTAAGCAAAAAGAACAAAACTGAAGGCATCAGGCTACCTGACTTTAAACTATACTATAAGGCTACCATAACCAAAACAGTATGATACTGGTACCAAGACAGATATGTAGACCAATGGAACAGAATACCACACATCTAGAACCATCTGATCTTCAACAAGCCTGCCAAAAACAAGCAAGAGAGGAAAAGATTCTTTTTGTAATAAATGGTGTTTGGAAAACTGGCTAGCCATATGCAGAAAATAGAAACAGGACTCCTTCCTTACACCTTATACAGAAATTAACTCAAGATGGATTGAAGACTTAAACATAATACCTAAAACATAAAAATCCTAGAGGAAAACCTAGGCATTACCATTCAGGACATAGGCATGGGCAAGGACTTCAGGACTAAAACACCAAAGCAATTGCAATAAAAGCCAATATTGATAAATGGAACCTAATTAAACTAAAGAGCTTCGGCTCCAGCAAAAGAAACTATAATCAGAGTGAACAGGCAGCCTAAAGAATGGGGGAAATATTTGCAATCTATCCACCTGACAAAGGTCTAATATTCAGAATCTACAAGGAACTTAAACAAATTTACAAGAAAAAAAAACAACCCCACTGAAAAGTGGGTAAAGGATATGAACAGACACTTCTCAAAAGAGGACATTTATGTGGCCAACAAACATACAACAAAAAGCTCATCATCACTGATGATTAGAGAAATGCAAATCAAAACCACAGTGAAATACCATTTCACACAAGTTAGAATGGCAATCATTAAAAAGCAAGAGATGGTGGCAAGGATGTGGAGAAATAGGAATGCTTTTACACCATTGGTGGGAGTGTAAATTAGTTCAACCACTGTGGAAGTCTGTGTGGTGATTCCTCAAGGATCTAGAACCAGAAATACCATTTGACCTGCAATCCCATTACTGGGCATGAAATACACACAAAGAATTATAAATCATTCTACTACAAGGACACATAACACATGTATTTTTATTGCAGCACTATTTACAATAGCGAAGACTTAGAACCAACCCAAATGCCCATGAATGATAGACTGGATAAAGAAAATGTGGTACACATATACACCATAGAATATAATGCAGCCATAAAAAAAGATGAATTCATGTCCTTTGCAGGGACATGGATGAAGCTGGAAACATCATTCTCAGCAAACTAACACAGGAACAGAAAACCAAACACCTCATGCCCTCACTCATAAGTGGGAGTTGAGCAATAAGAACACAGGGACACAAGGAGAGGAACATCACACACCAGGGCCTGTTGGGTGATGGGGAGCAAGGGGAGGAATAGCATTAGGATAAATACCTAATGTATGTGGGACTTAAAAACTAGAAGATGGGTTGATGGGTACAGCAAACCACCAGGGCACGTGTATACCTATGTAACGAACCTGCACATTGTACACATGTATCCCAGAACTTAAAGTAAAATTAAAAAAAAAGAAAAAAGAAATGGAATTTCTGGATTATATGGTAATTCAATCTTTTATTTTTTGAGGAACTACCACATGTTTTCCATAGTCACTGCACAATAGTTTTACATTCCCACCAGCAGCACACAAAGGCCCCAATTTCTCCACATTCTTGTCAACGCTTATTTTCTGTTTTTTAAACGATAGCCATCCTGATAGAAGTAAAGTGGTATTCTATTGTGGTTTCAGTTTGCACTTCCCTGAGGAGTAGTGATATTGAGTATCTTTTTGTGTGCTTTACTGACCATTTATATAATTTGGAGAAATGTCTATTTACATTTTTGAGAGGAACAGCATTTTAACTCATGCTTACTCTTAAGCACTGTAACTTTGCACACCAGCACCCTGTGTGTTAATACAAACATAGGTTGCCTTTTAGAAAATGTTGGTATAATAAAGAAGTTTCTCTAGCCTCTGCATGCTTAATTATTATCATCTTATTCCATGCTAAGAACAAATGGAACAACAAATTGCGCCCACACAAGGACCCAAGTGCAGTGGAAACTTTATGGGGCTGATTGTTCCTCAGTTCAGGGAGTTCTTCGAGACCAGGCCCAACTATCATCATTCTCAACTTCCTGTCATATTCCTCTCTTTACATTTAAAAAACAAAATTGGAATCATTCACTTTTAAATTTTCACTTTTTTTACATTAAAAACACATAGATGTTTCTGACATGAACCATTTATTTTGTGGCAAAATATGTATAATAGCCAGGTGCAGTGGTTCATGCCTGTGGTCTCAGCTATTCAGGAGGCTGAGATGAGACAATCACCTGAGCCCGAGAGTTCAAGGCCAGCCTGGGCAGCATTACTGAGACTCATGTGTTTCTTTCTTTTCTTTTCTTCTTTTTGATGTCAGACAGGCTCTCACTCTGTCACCACGGCTGGAGTGCAGTGGCACAATTATAGCTCATTGCAACCCCAGACTCCTGGGCTCAAGTGATCCTTCTTCTTCAGCCTCCCCAGCCACTGGAATTACAGGTACACACCACCACATCTAGCTAATTTAAGAAATTTTTAGTAGAAATGAAGTCTTGCTGTGTTGCCCAGGCTGGCCAATTTTTTTTTTTAATAAACAAATAAATAAATAAATAATTTTTTAAAATGTATAACATAAGATTCACCATTTAAAAGTGTACAATTCAAAGCCATCTAATGCATTCATAATGTCTTGTAAATATCATCACTATCTACTTCCAAAACATTTTCGTCACCCCTAAATAAAATTCTGCACCCATTAAACCTTCATTCCCCAATGTTTCTCCTTTTCTTTAGCAACCACAAAACTGATTTATGTCTCTATGGATTTGCCTACGGGAGGCATTTCATATAAATGAATCATACAATGCATGGTCTTTTTGTGACTAGATCCTTTCACTTAGCGTATGCTTTCAAGGGTTGTCTATGTCATAGCCTGTATCAGTACTTCATTTGTTTTTAAGGCTGAATAATATTCTGTTGTATGATTGTACCATATTTTGTTTATCCATTCATCATTTGATGGACATTTGGTTGTTTCTACCTTTTGACTATTGTGGATACTGTTGCTGTGAACATTTATTAAGTTTTTGTCTGAACACCTGTTTTCTATTCTTTTAGATAATTAGCTAGGAGCAGAATTGTTGAATCGTCTGGTAATTCTATGTTCAACTTATTGAAGAACTGCCAAATTGTTTTCTACAGTGACTCTACCATTTTACATTCCCACTAGCAGTGTGCGAGGTTTCCAATTTCTTTACATCTTTTGCATGTCCATTTTTTTGAATATGGTTATCTTGGTGGAGATGAAATGATAACACATTGTGGCTTTTATTTGTATTTTCCTAACCACTAATGGCGCTGAATGTCTTTCCATGTGTTTGTTGGCCGTTTGCATATCTTTTTTAGAAAAATGTCTATTCAAGTGTTTTGCCTTTTTTTAAATTGGGTGGTTTTGTTGTTGTTGAATTACAGAAATTCTTTACATCTTCTGGATAGTAAACCTTTACCAGATTTATGATTTGTAAATATTTTCTCTCATTCTATGGGTTGTCTTTTCACTCTCTTAACAGTGCCCTTTGGTACACCAAAGTTTTTAATTTTATGAAGCCCAACTTACCTATTTTTTCTTTTATTGCTTATCATTTGGTCTCATATCTAAGAAATCATTGTCAAATCTAAGGTCATGGAGATGTACAGCTAAGTTTTATTGTAAGAGTTTTATAGTTTTAACTGTTATATTTAGCTCTTTGATCCAGTTGCAGCTGATTCTTGTATATGACGTGAGGTAAGAGTCCAACTCCATTCCTTTGCATGTGGAAATCTCGTTGTCCCCAAACTATTTGTTGAAGAATGTTAAGCGCTTTTTGAAAACATGATTTGGGTGACTGCATATATTACATAGTGCATCACCATTTGCTTACTGATTTTTCCTTTGTCTCGTGGTGTTCTAGAGATGCAGATAATTTACTCCTTGACCACATCTTTCTTTAGAGAACATGCTCAGCTCATAGCTTCAGAA